AATGTATTTATAGGGAAAGAAAGAAGTTTAAGGTTTTAGAGTTTCTTAGTCCCTCATGGGCTTTGGACTTAGTATTAAGGAAGAAGCCCAACAAATAGTCGCAAATAATGATAGATCACTGTATACAAATAATAGGTAAAGAACCAAAAAAAAAAAATGTGTGCAGTGTGCGAATAATAACAATTATAAGGGTAACGATTTTAAGAGAGCATACCTGTAAAATTTAATCCTTTACTTATAAAGAAATTTACCTAATATTAGAACACTATAATAATCAAGGAAACTTATTCTTAATAAAGTGCAAAAAATTTCGGATTTTTTTGAATGATTTTATCACCTAACTTCTGAATGTATTTTATTTTTTATGTACATAACTTTAAAGGTCATTATTTGCTTTTTTTTTAAAAAAATTGTTCAATCTCTTCTTCATGAAAGAAATTTTGCGAAACGTTGCCTTTTTTTTTTCTTCTTGCGTTCATTGCAGCCATTGGCGGGCCTTGTTCCAAAGTACTTTTTGTTCCCTTGTAGTTAAATCCAAAGCAACCATTTAAGATATACGAGACCAATATATTTTAAATTCTCAACTTGTTTACTTTAATGTAAAAAATCTAATATATCTTCGTATAACATATCAGATGATACGGTTTTTTGAAGACAGAATTTTTTTTTTAATATTATATCCATATATTTTAAAAAATACATAATTTATAATTTTATTTTGAACCAGAGTCGTATCCAATGCTTAGTGCGACAGTAGTATAAAAAATATTCTCCACTTTAATAGACCCACTTAAGGAAGTTTTAACTGACACAGAAAATAAGCATGTTTGTTGAGATATATAGTCCCACCTTGGTTGTATGAGCAACTAATGTGGAGTTTATAAGACCTCGGACACTTCCACCCTTTGAGCTAGCTTTTGGGGTGATGTATCCCAAGGTTCTTTACATGGTATCAGAACTTGCGCCCTCACCACCTCCCACTTTACTTGGGCACTCCCACCCTTTGAGCTAGTTTTTGGGGTGGTGACTTCAAGATTCTTTACATGTATTAGAGCCTCGCCGCCCCCCACTTTCTCTTGTGGCGTTTCGTAGCACAGGTAGGCTGGGCCTGTTGCATTGTCCACTCTTCAAGCCCAAAGGGATCTCGTGTGAGGGGGCGTGTTGAGATATATAGTCCCACATTGATTGTATGAGCAACTAATGTGGAGTTTATAAGACCTTGGGCACTTCCACCCTTTGAGCTAGCTTTTGGGTGATGTATCCCAAGGTTCTTTACAATGTTAATTATTTTCTTTTGCCTTGGGTTGAAATTTTATGCATGCATATACATAATATATTAATAACAATAAAATAGAAAATACTGCTTAATCTCAAAGATCTACCAAGAAACAATGATTTACGTACCACATCTTAGCTGTGTACATTATGACATGCTGTACATGATGAAGATGTCCGAACATACAGTTTGACTGAGCATATAGATTGGAACTTGACAGAAAGTTTTAACCAACACTACAATACAAGCAAACTGGCCAAACCCTCTCACCCGACCTGTCATTGTGCCACATGATCTCTACAGTATTTTTTTTTTCCACATCTTTGTAGTATTTGAGCATCTTTCTTAATTACAGTTATATCTTTACATAACATTTTCCATAACTATCACAGTCTTGGAGGTCCCTGAATTGAATTAACTAGGTATAGGATATGGCAATAATGTCACTTCTGCAGTAAGTCATTCTAGCTTTTTAATTGCTTGAACAACTAGAGACGAAAAAGATAAAAAAGAAATGAAAACTTATTGATAAAGATAAATATGATTTATTTATTTATACATAACAAAATTACTGTAGTTATTCTATTCATTTTTGAATCAGTTTATAGTTTTATACTTATTTATCTTTGTGGTCCTATTCAAAACATGTCATTTCCCAACCATATATTATTCACACCCCTCTACTATGTAACCAACCTATTACTTGACTATCATGGATTCTCAACTAATTACAACACACATTTCCATTAATTTTTTTCTATAATAATCTAATTAAAAACATAATTTTTGCAACAATACATCTAACCAGAATCTTTACCATTAACCCAACTAGAGTTAATAAACAAAAACCATGATTGTGACAAGTTTTTACATGATTAACTTTACTTGACCAAGGAAACAATGAAAGAAAGTTAAGCTATTAAATGAAGACACATGAGGGGTCCCCCAGAGTGCAAATGTTTTGACTAAGAAGAAATTATAGTAACAGAGAAGCCCATTTTCAGTTCCGAAAATTGGAGCTGAAATGGCAAATGCAAGCACAGGTCTCTATCAGTATTAAATATAAATAGAATCACATCAAGTCCAAGTTAGGAAACTCACTTAGAATAATGGGGGCCCAAAAGCTCACAAGCCTCACACGCCACGTTCAGTGTAGTTCATGAGTAAATAACATACATCTAAAATACCAAAAATAAAATAAAATAACATACATCTGTAAAAAAAATTCCTGAAAAAATGGTCCTATTTTTTTTTTTTATAAGTTATGGGTTCTTATTTATTCAGGTGATTGAAGTTTTACAGTAAAATATTGAGTGAGTGGTTATTCGATTTTAGGCTAATAATCTTACCCCAAATGAATCTTATTCTCATGTACGTGTAGAAAGATAAAGTTATTTTTTTTAATAGGAGAAACATTAAACCCTTATTTTAAACCACCTAATTATATAGATTTTGGAAATATGTTATATATTAACCATTACAAAAATTTAAATTGCTAGGTAAAAGACTGGTGAATAATCTTAAATTACCTCTCTAATACCTTTTTAAATTCCCTTTACCCTTTTTGTCAAATATGTGTGTCTTTCATGCTATAATGATCAATTCAAACATTATAAAGAATATTAAATTATTAAGGTTTTATCCTGCCAACATGAATTAACAACAAACTTTAATTTAGTCGTTTTAATTAATTAACAAATAGCTATATAAACTGTAAAGAACAAATTTAATCCAAAAGCTTAAGTTATTAGATGCAGTTATATTAATGATTTTATATTGTCTTTAACACGCTCCCTCACACAAGAGTCCAGAAATTCCACAAGAGAAAAGGAGGGCGGCGATGATCGAACTCGTGACCACTTGATCACGGAAATTCTGAAACCATATAAAGAATCAATTCAACTCAAAAACTTAAGCTATTATGTGAGGTTATATTAATGATTTTATATTATCTGTAACAAGCTACATGTCACAGTTCAAACTTTTTCTATCAATAATTCCCCTCTTGGTCTAATCCTAGAATATAAAAATCAAAATGTACCTTTGGAATTCTTCTCCCACAACACTTGGGATTAATATGAATTCCCCTTTACAAAAGAAATAAAATCCAGACTCGTGTTTTAAACTTGTTTCATTTGTTCTTTATGGTATACCGGTACCAATAGATAGCGCGGTCGGCAATGATTTCTTTGATTGAAAGAAATTCGTTAATTCCAGATTAGGCAGAAAAACAATTAAGGTTATATTTAACTTTATCTAGGATTCGATCCATTACAGAATGTGCTTTACGTTAGCGAGAATTTCATGTTGAATTGCGTACCAAATTATGCTAGGAAATAAAGGAGGTACGAGGGTGACTTTATAGGAAAAGAAAGCTAATACAGTCTAACAAACAAGTTGCACAATCTTAAGTCCAGTTTACACAATTAAGAAGAAACAGCCCAATACTAATCAATACACTATAATTCTTATGTTAATTAATTACTAAAGCTAAGTTTTTCCTAGGAATCATAGCATCTAAGTAAAAGATGCTGATTTGAAATGCTCTGTGTCACATGCACTAATTAATAAACCACATATATGAAGTTGCCTACCTATAAAACACACATAGAATATTGATCATGCCCAAAACTCTCATTAATCAGAGTAATATTGATTTGTCTCTTGGTTTATTTTGATATAGGATTCCTTGATGAACAATGTTATGACTTGAAATTGTCTATTCAAACAGTCAAAGGAAGAAGCCCCCCTTGAACCTCCCAATCTCTCTGTAGTGGCAGAGCCATTAAGTAGATATATGGTTGACTAATCAAAAAGTCATTCAATATATACGTAAGAACAAGTTGGTCAAAAGCAAGAAGGAAAATAAAAAAAATAATAATAAAAAATTATAGACAACATACAAGACGAAATTACTTTGAACATGAGCAGAAAATGAAGTGACAAGGTACAATATAGAGTTAGGTCTTCCGACCCATAATACGGAGAAAGTATTTATGTCGTGCAAAAGATCATCTTGGTGGGCCATGTCAATCACCTTCAGTGTTCACATATGAGAATGAGAGTAAGACATACACAGAGACCACAACGTGTTTGAAGGGGTATACCCTTCGGTATAGAACCTAGAGGTAGTTATTTTACTGGTTTTCTAATTAACATGTCAAAATCTACATAGTCGTTAAGAAATCTTTGAATTTCAATATGTTTTTTTTCCATGATTTCAAAATCAAATAACGCCAAGTAAAACTGAATAGAATAACCCACCAAAAGAAATTTAAACAAAGACCAAAATTAGGAAAGAAAACACATAAACATAAGGAAAAATCACGGTGGACAAGGTTCCACGACTTGTGAGGGTAAAAGACAAATCTCGGTGCATAAGGTTTTTTAACTTTCAAGGGTAAGAACAGAATTATTATACACAGTCTTATTCTTATATTTTTACAAAGAGACTATATTCTAGATTCGAACACATAACTATTGAGTAACAAAAGAGTCACCTACCTTTTAAAGCTGACCCCTCTACACACATATAATAAAAATTAAAATTCACTATACACTTCTATAAAAAGGAACTTGAACAAGTCTACAAATCCATATCATTCTCATCATAGCCTACAAAAGCCTAAAAAAGAAACAATAACATAAACAGAAGCTTAAGTCTATAGCACCACCAGGGTTTAATTTGTTGTTTCTTATTCCTATTTTCTTAATAGAAAGCAGCATGCAACGTTTCTTAGCAATGAGCTTCCAACGCAGGTTTTTCAGCCATCAAAGGCAAACACAGATGATGGCAAAGCGAGTGATGAATCCATGTGACGTGTTCCTGAACCATAGATGCATGGACACAAAGAAAACAGTGGCCACTCTTCTCTATGACCATCTTCGCACGCACGGGTTTAACCCTTTCTTGGACAACAAGAACATGAAGCCAGGTGACAAACTGTTTGATAAAATCAACAGTGCAGTTCTTGAGTGCAAGATTGGTGTGGCTGTTTTCTCACCTCGTTACTGTGAATCCTACTTTTGCCTTCACGAACTTGCACTTCTCATGGGGTGCAAGAAGAAGGTGATACCCATTTTCTGTGACATTAAGCCATCTCAGTTGCGTGTTGTTAACAATGCAAAGTGGTCGGAGGAGGAACTCAGAAGATTCAAATGGGCTATTGAGGAGGCTAAGCACATCGTGGGGCTCACGTTCAGTTCCTCAAAAGGGTATGTATAATACAAATTATTAACATTAGTTTATATATGTTAGTGTTATTGATAACCATGTTTTGGTCAGGTGTGTATGATTTCAGGTACAGAAGAAACATTTTTCTACCAAAAAAATTTACTATCTACCCATGACAATCTTTTTGGATTAAGGCCCATCATTTAATTCCGTAAATAATTAATTCAACTCAAAAGCTTAAATTATTAGGTGAACACATAATCAATGATTTTATATTATATTTTATCTAACATACCCCCTCACATAATGACCCATTAAGCTTGAAATTAAGGTGATGAACAATATATAAACCTCTTCTACCTATGTTTAGAAACTACTCGATAATATTCACACAAAGACCTATTGGCTTTGAAGGATAGACAATGCACAGGTCTCTCCTACTTATGTTTGAAAATTTTATAATATTTAATTATTTATTAATATAATGAAGGCGACGAGGATCGAATTTGTGATTACTTGATAATGAAGGCTGTTACATCATATAACTAATTTAATTCAAAAGGTTAAGCTATTAAGTGAAGCCTCGATCAATGATTTTCTATTATATATAGCTATTGATATTTCAATCTTTTTATAATATATAGCTATGCTAGCATTGATTTTGTACAAGGGTAAAGGAATAGTTATGACCGATTAATTGTGTGCATTAATCGTAAAGTATCACGTTCTTACATATGTATATAATAGTGAGAATTCTTACCCTAGCTAAACAAAATAATGACATTCATATACATTTTTTTTTCTTGTGAAATGCAGGAACTTGTCTGAAATTGTGACTAGTGCTTCTGACATCATCATTGGCAGCATGATAGAGCTTGAGAATGAAGAGCAGATGCAGAATCAAAACTTGCCAATTGCTCTTTAGAATTCGCCACTTATGCTAGCTAAAAATGCTGCAGAAGAAATCTAATCAAATATACAGCTGATCCGTAGTATAATATATTCTAGATCCTTTATTGCTCTGTTAAGAAGGTCATAATTACCTATTAATTGTGATTTTTTTATAGCTATGATTTATTTCTTATTTTTTTTTTTTGCATTACATGGAAATTAAACACACACCACTGTACTACATGTACCTAACATACACATTCCACACCACTAGACTAATCTCAGTGAATATTTATTTCTTATTTCAATAAGGTCATGTATAACACATAATAAATAACATACCAGATTCTTTTGTACAATGTACGATACAGCAATGTAAAGTGGCAGATATTAATAAATTAATGTGCTTCTGTTTTGTAGATTTTTTCAATTATACTGCTACAGTTGTATTCTTATTGGTTTAATGTAATTAAAAAGGTGCATGAGTGTATCTTGCAGTGCCTCTCATTCACATATAATATTCTTCCCTTTTAATTCAAAAATTTAGAAGTAAAACTTAACAAATCGTTCAATATTCACATGTTCCGTTCTCCATTGCAGCGCTAAAGCAGGAAGGGAGGAAAAACAATATGATGTCAACGTGTTTTATTCTAATCTTAAAGGGAAAAATATTTCCATTTCTACGGTAGAGTAAAGTTGTCTAATACAGACACGTACATCTCCGTCGGATCAGGATATGTATCTTGACAAAGATGTGTCTGCGTCAAATAACGGCGAATCCAAGGGACCCAATTTTAAATATATATATATATATATATATATATATATATATATATAAGGCAGGATCCTTTGACACCGGTGTCAAAGGAAAAGTTTGACACCTCATCTTAGAGCCGTTAGATTTAAAAAAATCAATGGTGTCACGTGCTTACAAATCAGAATCGTTGATTTTTTTTAATCTAACGGCTCTCAGATGAGGTGTCAAACTTTTTTTTTGACACCGGTGTCAAAGGATCTGTCTGTCTCTCTCTCTCTCTCTATATATATATATATATATATATATATATATATATATATATATATATGGAAAAAATATTTCTACAGCCACTTTAGATAAGATTGTCTATAGTTATTCCTTTTTAACTAAGTATGATCGATCATACATAAAAATCGTATTTTCTCTCTCTGCCACGTCAACCGATAGTGTCTAAGAAAGAGAAAAAAAGAACAGCTTTATTGTTATAACTAAGTATGACTGGTCATACTTAATTTAAAAGGAGTAGCTGTAAATAATCTTATCTAAAGTAGCTGTAGAAATACTTTTTCTATATATATATATATATATAACGATTGCAATTTGCTTGTAATATAGAAATTTAATTTATGGGTTTAGTGAGTGTCTTTATAAAGGACATAAGTTATGTCTTTCTAGCAGTTTTAATTATGCATTTCTGGGACTGCATAGTTATAACATTAAAATTGTACTTTTTTTTCCTTCTTCATAAACTGTATGCTAATAATAGGGAAAGTGAAAAAAATATAATTTTAATATTATAACTATATATTTCTAAGAATGCATAGTTAAAAACTACTAAAAAGATATAAGTTTGTGTCAATACTCATTTTTATATTAAAGTATCTAAGGAGCAAGAGCCACCTAAAACCAGTGTTTAAAAATCCGGTCTGGCCATCGATCCGGCCAAGGTCAGGGGTGACGGGTTCAACTGGGGGGTCACGGGGTCACTATGCTGACCCAGTTTTATATATTAAAAAATATAAATATATATATCCTATATGAAAATATTAAAAAAAAAATCACCAATCACCAATCATCAAAAATTCAAAATATACTTAATATAATTCACCAATTATAGCCACAAGTCAATATTATACAACCTAATTAAAGTATCAAGATACCAAAGTACAAAACTCATATTCTAATGATACCAAAGCATCAAGATACCACAAGTCTAGGTCGTTGGGAGAGAAGAGAACGATTAAAATTAGGTTTGCAAGCATTTTTATTTTATTTTTTTAATAAAACGACGTTGTTTCATGGAATTTTCTTAAAAAAAGAAATATGCAGTGATCCCCTTTGACCCCTCTGACCCAGGAGTCACTGAAACCCGACTGAATTTTGAGGATTGAAGGGGTCGATGTGCATATAGAATCTAACTTGTGACCCCAATCCTCAAAGAGGAGGGGTCAGAGTTGACCTGAGTTGGAGATGGTTGAGATTTTAAAACATTGCCCAAAACTTGTCTCTCTTATACTTTATATTTGTTCTTGGATCTCTCCCCTGTCAAAGACAAAGAGGGTATTTAATAGGTTGCTTTTACTTATACAGTCCATAACCTTAAGTGAATTTTTTGTTTTTAACCTTAAGTTCTTAACTCATATGAGTCTAAGAGCACAGGTAGAGTTCTTTTGGAGTATTTTTTTAAACTAAAATTTATTTTTAAATTGAAATTTAAAATAAGAGTTTTAAAAAATAAAATTAAAAGTAGTATGTGATTATATAAAATTTTTAGTTTCAAAATTATATTAAAGCTCAAGTTAAAAATAAATTATTTGGCAAAATAATTTTCATAAGCTCTGTTTGAAATTGGTATAAGGGATATTAAAAACCTCTATTATTTAGAGAAACACAAATATAATAAGAAATAAAATAAAAATATTTTAAAGATAAAGATTTTAAAAGAAAAAATAAATCTAAGAATGAATAAAGTATAATTTATTTATTTTTCTTGGTGAAATTCTCAACATTTTAGAAGGGAGAAGGAGATCCAATGATTTGTCATTAGGATAGAGGGTAAAATTTGTAAATATAATTTTTTTTAAAATGAAAACTTGAAAAAGCTAGAGTACATTTTTTTTTGGATACAGGAGTACATTTTTAAAAAAGCTTCTACCAATAATGCTTTTAATTTTTATTTTAGGAAAAACTTCATTTTCATCTATTGTGGTTTTGTGATTTATCATTTGACCCCGTGGTTTTAAACTTATCACTTAGACTCACTGTGCTGAAATAATTTATCATTTAACCCCCCATGGTTTCAAATTTTTACTTAGACCCCTTGTGGTTACAAAAAATTTCACTTAAACCCCTTGTGGTTTAAAAAATAAACATTTCAAAAACATATTTAAAATAAATTTTCTCTCTCTTTTATTTTATATCCTCATGTAATGCATTTAGGGTTCGAAATATATTTTAAGTTATTTATTCTGAAATTAATTTATAAATTATTTTAATTTTTAAAAAAAAAAATATATTTGAAATTAAAAAGATTATTTAAGATGAAATTAAAAAAAATATTATTTATGATAAATTAAATATGTACTATCAAAATAAGATATTTACTTTCTTTAAATAGATAAAATAAAAATATTTGATTTGAATTTATTTTCTTAATAAAAATAAGTGAATTTTCTTAGAATTTATTTTTAGTTTTTAAACCTTAAATGCTTTAGGTGAGGATATAAAATAAAAAAGAGGGAAAATAAATTTTCCTCTTATTTATTTTTTAGAATTTTTATTTTTAAACTACAAGGGTCTAAGTGAAAATATTTTTAACCACAAAGAGTCTAAGTGAAATATGAAATCACGGGGGGTTAAATGATAAATTATTTAAGCACAATAATGGATCTAAGTGATAAGTTTAAAATCACGGGAGGTCAAATGATAAATCACAAAACCACAATGGGTGAAAATGAAGTTTTTCCATATTTTTATTATAAAAAAAACTCTTTTATGGTTAGAATTTTTATAAAATTATGTTTAGTTAAGCCTCTCCTTATAAGGAGAATTTTTTTTTAAAAAAAAGACCCATCAGACGAGCAAGAAGTACTATAGCTTATTCAGTATTCACAATCCATATTAACTGTCTTATATTGAATTAAAGCAATAATTAGCTTTTTTTGGGTTCAGAGTGTTTAAGCAAAACAAAGAAAAAAGAAATGATGTAGAAAATTTAGTCTCATATGAGTACATATATAACAAAAAAAAAATTTAGACACAATCTTAGTCTTTGATTTAATAACTAATAAATTAAAAATATAACGAGATTAGTGCTAGAGAATAATATAAACTATTAAAAAGATCATCACCCAAAACTTTAAAGTTTTGGGTTGAAGTGATTCTTTATATGGTACCAGAGCTTTAGTGTTACGAGTTCGATCCTCATCTCCCCCCACTTTAAAATGGTCATCTCCCTCCACTTTAAAGTGGAATCAAACAAGCACAAGGTAAATAAAAAATTGGGCCTGTGTTATATCCACGCTTCAAGTCTAAAGAGCTCTTGCGTGAGAGCTATAAACTATTAAAAAGACCATCACTCAACACCTTAAAGTTTTGGGTTAAAATGATTCTTTGTAAATAATTAAACTTATTTAATTATCTTCTTGTATATATGAACCCTATCTTAATTGCAATTATTGTGAATAGTATTATAAGAAGAAGATATAGAACCTTTTAACCATTATTTTCAACTTGCATCAAGTTGACAACCATTTATATGAGAAACCAACTTCTTGTCAAAATAACTAATCAATCCTTAGAAAACTAGTAAACCATTTTGCCGAACGCTGTAGGTATATCATCAGAAACGCGGAAGCGCATCGAACCGACACGACGAGGGAAAAGATTAACCTTCATCGTTTTGATTACCTGGAAGGGCGTAGTTGTGTGACCACGAACAATAGTTGTTCCCTCTATGATCGATCTTCCAGACTATCTCTCGAGGAGGATGAGATGGTTGTGTGGGCAACCGTTCAGATGATGAACGTCTGCCTCTTGGGTTTGTTTCTAATGATCTGTTCACCTTAGAGGCACAAGAGGAGAAAACTGTGAATATATACTTTAGGTCTTAGACATAACTCAACCCTAAGCCTCATGGGCTCAAGTGTCACTGAAGCCCAATAGGACTTTAGTGACCAAAAGAGCATATATCCAACAATCTCCCACTTGCTCTTTAATATACAAACTTGAGTTCGTAAACCCAAGACCATGTAGCCCATAAGCTATCATCATCTGAT